CACGTTGCACAGGAACCAGAGAAGGAGAGAGTCGTTGCTGCTTTTGGAAACTGCGTGCTGGAAAATTTAAGATTTAGGAGGAAAACATGCTACAAATTCATGTCTCCAGAAACATGCCCGGACCCAGAGTGGAAAGATCTCTGGAAGGTTCAGCCGAGCTTGTCAGCTCTGATACTGATCACCTGACACCAAACGCAGATGCGAAAAGCAGGCCCGGACACCCCCAGGGCTGACGGGTCCCTTCGCTCTCCTCACTGACAAGGTGAGCAAGTTTTCCTTGGTTCTCGCAAGGCTGCCTCTAGGAGCACCCCCCGGATAGCAACGTGGCACTGACTGTGTGTAGGGGAGCCCAGGCCTGTTCTGGGGTCACAGAGCACAGGAAGGCCACCTGGCTGCTACCTGACCAGACGGAACACGCACACCTGCAAAAGCAGCCGGAACCTGGAGAGTTTCCGGGGAAGTCCACCTGCAGACACTGGTGCTGTCAGCTCCTCCCGCAAAGGCAGAATGTGCACAACTCTAACCCAGCTCTCCAGCTTGACGTGGTGGCAGCACACGGAGACGGTGCTGGGTAGTATTTTAGGGCAGCGTTTCATTTTTGAAGCAGGATAGATTCTGCTTACCGGAAACTCACCAAAAAAAAAAAAATTCTTCTGACTCGAAAATTTAGACATAAAGCAAAGCAAAGGCCCTGTAAGACACACAGCCAACCAAGACAGGAAGGGCCGGCGTGGGAACCTGCGGTGGGATCAACGAAGCCGCAAGTGACGTCACAGGTTTTCGCCCGAATCGGGAAACGTTTCTGCGACCAGCGATACACCAAGCAGAGAAGAGTCAATGCAGCCAGGAGAAGGCCCCCTAATTCAAAAGCCAGGAGCAAAGCCAGCCTGGGGCACGTCCCCGTGGCCAGCCCAGCCCCCCCGGCTCGCAGGTGAGCGGTCAGGCGCTGGAGCATCGGAGCAGCAGCTTCCAGCAACGGCAGGGGCGCTGGGTGGCTGTTTACAGGTCCTGCGCCCACCGCCGCCCCTCCTCCAGGTCTGGTTCCAGAGCCTCCAAAAACAAGGGAGCCTGCTGGGTATTGTGGGATAAACTATCAAAAGAGGCCCTGCTGAAAATTCCGAAGCAGCCTCTGCCCGGCGCGGGAAGGGAGAGGGGCCGGCAGGATGCGCAAGTTGCTGCTCTGAGATGATCAAAGCTTCAGAGACACACATGCAACATTCAAAGAGACTCGGAGAGGAAAAGGCGGGGAACGTCTTCTAACCATCTAACGACTTGTTTCTGCAGTTTTGCCCAATCACCGTCCGCAGAAGTGGGACACCTCCCGGCAAACGGGCACAGCGCGCTGCTCACCCAGCACCACAGCCCGGTGCGCACGCGCCACCTCCGTGCGCGCTCACGAGCGCAGGTAACACGGATGCGGCGTGACACGCCAACTCGGGGGAGAAAGCCCAAAAGCAAAGAACCTAGCTTTTTCAATAATGAAGTACAGGTTTAACCAAACATATTATGTTTATCTGCTTAGGAGGAAAACATAACATTCACTAAAGCAATGGGGGAAAGTTTGGTGGCGGTATTCCACTGAAACATGAGCTTTAAAAGTGGGTTTCAGTTCTTCAGAAAGTTAACACACCTGACCCTGGCACGTGTGAGCAAGCTGAACGTCCACGGGTAACCTGGCGAGACTGGCGGCTCCTTAAGTGCTTAAGTGCAAGCGTCTACCCAGGGAGCTCTGATTTCCCAGTAGGCAAAGCAAACAAAACCCGCACACTCACACGTGTAAACCAAGAAAACTTTGAAATGCTAGCTCTGTCTCTGAAGTAGTTCTATTTTCAGGGAGAAACGGAAAAAGGTGTAAACATGTTTGCATGAGAAGCTAATACTGCAAACTGCTCACTGTGTTGAAACAACTTAAGGAAAGCCCACGATTACTCAGGAGGGTTCCGTGGGCCCGCGGCCCCTCACCCCACATCACTGACCATGCACGGCCGGGGGCCCGCGGCCCCTCACCCCACACCACTGACCATGCACGGCCGGGGGCCCGCGACCCCCACACCCCACACCGCCGACCACGCACACACCGGGGGCCTGCACACACGGCCGGCGACTTCAGGGCGCGGATATTAGCAGGCGCACATCTAAGGGCTAAGTCGGCCCATGCTTTATGAAGGGTCAACCAGAGGAGGCCTTCCCGCTAGAAGAGTCCTGCAACGACACCACTGCTGTGCCACGTAACCGGGACACGTGGGTCCTCTGCTCACTCTCTGGGAAGAAGGCGCCGGTCCCTTCTCCAGAACACCAGCCCCGAGCCTCCCTCTCCACCGACTCTCCCCGTGTAAGAACGTTAGTTCTGTCTTTAAAGGGTGACCTCGGACTCTGATGTCATTGAAACTATGACTCTGCACCCACCGTTCTGTCATCTCTAGGTCACTTAACTTCTACCCCAACTTACACAGAAACCTTTATAGAATGAATGGAATATTTCCATCACATCTCCATAAAAGGAAGAAAGCATTGTATCAAGTTGTTCGGTCTTCCTCGTGGCCAGTGCTGAGAAGGGTGACGAGGTCTGTCTGCAGACTCCCTGCGTCACAGAGTTAGCGAAGTGCGGAAGTTCGATGTCTTGAAGTGAAGCATTGAAGCAACAAGATACTATTCCCCAAATTGTTATTTTACATTTGAAACACTCAAAAAAACTTTTCAGGCAGACTTTTAAACTTGGGTCTGTGGCAGCTCTAGAAAGGTCCCGACACGTCAATGAACTGATACCTGCTCCATCCGCGCACATGAACCCCTGTACGTGGAACTATCCTTTCACCCTCCTTAACCCATGACTCAGCTAAATTTAGAGCTAAAACTCGTGAAACCCCCATCTTCACTAGCTGAGTGTGCCCCGCTCAGCCAAGCCAAAATAACACAGCAGCCCAGAGCCACCATGCTCTCACCAGGGGACGGTCCTCTCTGACGCTGCAAACCTCCACATCTAGTCAAGCAGCACCCCCAAAGGTCTTCTGCGCTGATTTCAAAATGCAGCCCACCAGAAAATCTTTACAACAGTCTCATTTCCAAATTTCCCTGCATATTTTTTAAGGAAAAGTTTTTTTCCCCTGTACTTTCTCCCTTTTTATTAGTCTGGATTGAAGAAAAGCACACATTTCATTTATTGTCTAGATTACAGATTCTTATTAAACAAACCAGAGCTCATTATAAAATCAATACCAACTTAGCCACCGTGCCCCCAGGAGGGACAGCGTAAAGGTCACTCCAAGAAATTCAAACAGTTTTCCTGCTGGAAGGGCATGATTTTAATTACAGATACTATTAATTAGAGCTGTCACGGGGAAGCTTTTTTTTCCTGTTAATTATCACAAACTCAGTTCTAAGTATGCATTTGCAACATGCACTTTTGTCAGAATGAGCCGTTTCTGCATTCAAGTCCAACCTTCCCTCTCTATCAATATTTTATATTCGAATTTCAAAGTGTATCAAAGGATGCTATGCTTTCTAAAAACCTACCCCCGTATGATCTCCCGTCTCTTGCACACGGAACAGAACTGGTGTGATAATTTATTTACGTCCTGGCACAGACGTGGCCCCGAAGACCCGGCATCCTGCACTGGTGGTCCCTGCTCAATAGGATTTCTGGTTACTTTCTTACTAGTTTATGTGACATTTTTCCCAGGCTTCTTCTTCAAACGTGATTTTTCTTTTGCTTTGAAGCTAAGCTCACTCTGCGACTGAAATGCCATCTCCCACACATTTGAAGCTGCCGTTTCTTTATAAGAAAAGATCATACTGGCCAGGCTTGTGACCTCCTCCAGAAAACTAGAGTTTTCTTCATTCAACACCATCACCAAGAATTTTGAAACAGGAAAAAAAATGCTCTCTCCTGGTCTCTTTTAAGCAGAGCAATTTTATAAATATAGCCCAGCTCCTTATGTGAGACACGGTCAGGGTGGCTCTCAGACAACTCCTGGAGGGCACCTCTCACCACACCTCGGGGGCAGGTTCTAGAAAGAGCTTGAGCCCCCCTCCCCCAGCGGTGTACTAGGATGACAGAATGATAATATTTAACTTAGATGTGACTGTCAGACATGATGCATTATTTACATAACATATTCCACATCATAATCATGTGACTTGCGAAAACAAAGAATCTACTCCAATGGGAGAAAATCTTCTACAAAATATACTGACTGAACTTTAAAAATGGTGATTAATGTTCTTGGAGTTAAATTATATTTTAAGTTAAATCAGATGCCCTAACTTGGATATTTTCTAGGCTTGCACTGCTGTTACAACCAAAGGTATGTTTTCATTACAGAATGTTATTAACACTGAAGTGTTTGCTGCAGAACTTCCACACATTCTGCAATTTTTTTTAATGTCCAGTTTGGTCTGAACCTGCCTTCCTCCCACTCTCATTGGTGTCCAGCGTGTTTCCAGGTGCGTCTGGTCTCTCGAATCCCCAGGACACAGCTGCCCCCACTGCTCTCCTGAAGTCACCATTGGTTTACTTTTCATTTATCAGCGTTCTACTTCACTTATCCAAATACTAGTGAGGGCGGCAACAGAGCAGGTCGGAGGGTCTTTGCACAGAAGACCCGTGGAAGTCAGTGATTTCAGAGACATCTTCAAACATCTACACAGCCAATTTATCTTGCAACTCTGACTTTTTTAAAATTAATACTGGCCAAACTAAGGAAGACACAAGTAATACATAATTCATGTAGCGTACACTTCCCCCCACATTTCTAATTAGCAACTCGCTTTCACAGCTAACACGAGACTATCCAAGAACAGCATAAGATTAATATAAAGCAGGAAAACTGGCTGCCAGGTATTTACATGAATGCTAATGAGAAGTTTCATATCGTCATCACAGGAGAACCCAAACTAGGAATAAATGAACTGCTGGGGCCGGGGGAGGGGCCGGAGGGGAGTCCAACGTCTGCTCCAGGACAAGTGCACCTGAGGCAGCGCTGAGGAAAGGCACCTCTTACCTGGTAGGCGCTGGGCGCATCCGGGCCCGGGCCACCCCCGAGTCCCGAGAGCTTCTCTTTCAGCCTGTGGTGAGAGCTGTGGCGCAGGCAGTAGAAGACGCTGGACGCCAGGAGGACCCCCACGACGGCCACGATGGAGACCAGGGTGAGCACGATGAACTTGGCGGAGTCGTCCTGCTCTGCCTGATGAGGCAGGAGCCTGAGTTTGCTTCTCTGCGGAACGGGAGAGGGGGCATGTGAGTACCCAGCGATTCAGGAGCTCCAGAAAACCATCCTTTGCAAACAGCAACCTAAGAAGTGAAGCTGCGCACAGCACAGCCCTGGGCGGGCACCAAAGCAGTGGCCGGAGGGCAGCCCAGACACGCAGCCCTGGGACCCGCCGCCAGAGTCCCTTCCAAGCAGCGCACCACAGACCGCCATGTTTTCAGAGGGCACGTTGAAGGCATCACTTTTCCCTCGCTTTATGGCTGCTGTTTCTCAAACTTAACAATATCCAGCACTGGGCAGCTAATTCACTGCCTTAAGGAAAACGGAGCGCTCGCCCCTTCCTCTTAGCAGGTGGGAGGGAAATAACACAGCAAGGTGCCCAGACCCAGCATGCAAACCAGCAAGCGGGCGGGAGGGGGGGTGCTGAATGGGTGCCAGAGCCGCTGTGGCTAAAAGCAGCAGCAGAAGTGGAACGAGTCCAGCCCGGCTCGAGGTGTCTTGCTAATACTCTCGGTAACACTGCAGGGAGGTGCCGCCCTGGAAGGCCCTCGGCCTGCCTTCCGAGGCACGTCCCCCGGTACAGTCCGCGGACCTGAGCCGCTCTCCACGCGGGGCTGCCCCGCAGCCCAGACCCCCGCACGTCGCACCTCTGCACTTTCCCCCTGAAAGGAGCTGCGAGACGTGGGAGCACGATGGCCCGGGAGTTCACCTCGCGGATGCGGATGCGGATGCGGCGGGTAAGAGGTGAGCGAGCCCGTCCACCAGATTCTCAGGCTTCAGGGGGGTGGGGTGGGAAGGCCCTTCGGGCGGTTCACTAGTCTCCGTGTGCACGAAGTTGCAGAGCGCTCGCCCTCATTAGCTTGGTTATGAGGAATATTAGCAACAATTAAAAACGCCAGGGGAACACGGAAGCGACTCCGGCCAGCACAGCCCTCCACGACCGCTGGGCGGGGGGAACGGAGGCGCGCGCCCCCGCCTCAGCCGGCGGCTACAAGATGAGCGCAATTAGCAGACTCCCTCCGCCGCCTAATTCCGCGTGGTGACAAAATGGACTTTTCCCCATGAATGCCTGGCCGGCCTATTCATTATCTCTCTTCTATTGGTAATTTTCTGCTCCGTATTCAGCCTCCCAACTCTTCATTTCCTCCCGTCTCCGAGTGTACACAGGGCCTCTTATGTCAGGCCGGGCCATTTTTATCTTGTAATCATAAAGGCCACCAAAGCAATTATCGCCGGTCTTGACTGGAAAAGCTGGTCATTAATTAGCCTCCTTTTGCCTTCGGTGCCGCGGATTAGCTGGTGCCGGGACTGGGTTAATGGAAACGCGGGTGAAATGAGAAAAGACGCCGGATTTTCTTGCCTGGATGCGCGGCTCCGAGAGGACGGCAGGTTCGCCAGCGGCGGGAGGGATGAAGGAGGGGGGCGGGGGGGC